CATTACTCAAATATTACCTATCTCGCGTTTTTAGATGCAAATGCACTTATTAAGTTTACATAATTTAATTTTTCAACCAATTCAAACCGAAAGAGAAGTCACTACCCCGGTACACCAAATTCCAATCATTTTTCTATTGTTACAATGTTACTTATTACATTCAATAAATGAATGAATGGTTGGATTACAGAGACAACATCTTACAACTAGGAAAAATACTAGATTGAAGAGGATAATAATTTTCGTATACGAACCGTGGACGAGGCGGATTTGAATAATTTATTATATATTATATAAATTAATTAATTTGAAGATTAAATATGTCATTTTCAAAAAGGTAGTTTTAATCTTTTAGGTACATAATAAAGATATGTGTGGTGTGATCTTAAAATAGGGTAATAAGACCTCATAAAAATAAACATAAAGGTGATATTTAAGAAAGAAGCAAAAAAATAAAAATAAGATGGTGTGGACTATTTAAAAGGGAGAAGACATGCAGCTAAAATAAAATATAAAAATAGAAGAAGAAGAAGAAGATAGTTGGACCATCTTAAGTAAAATCGTGCAATTAAAATGATGTTGGGAATAGGGTTGTCTTCTTCCTCACGTAAGGCCGACCCTGCAATAAAAGAATTCCAGATTCCGGTGTTTACATAGAAGTCCACATAGCTCCCGCCTATCTTCGTCCAAACCTTCCTAGTTCCACCTAAAAATTGGGGGCCATTCCGAAGTGGGGGCCCTAGGTGGGCGCTTACTCCCTACACTCAGGGCCGGCTTTGTAAGTATTGTCGCCTTTTTAATAGTTTTCATGAAATTTATATATTTATATTTATTAATGTATTTTATTACTAATACTTTTGTAATATTTGTTACATTGTAGACAAACTATAATTTCGATAACATCAACGAGCACATGTTGGCGTACCTCAATCGGCTCTTCTTCTAATATTACAAGTACTGGAAGAGTGACCTGCACTAGTATTTTGAGATGTTTGATGATCCGCAGGTCACTCTTGAGGAGGGTTGCCCAAAGGACTTCGAGGACCGAGAAGATAGTTAGGTTTGGCTCTGTGGTCATTTTCAAGAGCCGGGCTATGTGGTCCCTTTTTAAATATGACTTCTTTCATTTTACTTTTTTAAATTTTTACTAATGTTTATTACTCATATAGGATGGAGGCATGGCAGAAGGTATATATTAAAGTTTTCATTTCCAATTTTAAAATGTCGCTATTTTTTTTTTCTGAACTAACATTTTCCGTATCTTTTTCTATTCCAGGGGGTTCAAAATTCCCGAAAATCAACGTCTTTGCTAACGTTTATGTTTGGCCCGGGGATGAGTTGACCAAGTCCCTTCATGTAATTAATTTCTTATCCATTAAAGATTTATACTAATTATTTCAAATTGTTTGCTATTAATATTCCATGTTTTATTTCACAGGTGAATATGGTGGAGAAAGGTCAGTCGGTCCTTCAGGAGTCTGCCTCTCAGCTTCCCCTGGACACGTCGATCGAGTCTGTGGATCCCCTTGAGGATGCGGGGTTTCACATCCTTACAGAGACGTTTGACCAGACATTTTGTCGAAGGCCAAGGACATATTGTCGGGGGATAGGAAATGCCAGGCAGCGGGAGAGTGGAGCCTCTTCATCCTCACAGTTGAAGGGCGAGGTTACAGCTTTGATGTAGGAACTCGCTGGCCTAAGGAGTAAGCTCACATCGTACAAGACTCAGATGTCATTGATTGTATAAGCCTTCAGTTCCTCCGGGATCCGTCTCCTCAATTTTTCTGCACTATCACCATCAAAGCCCCTCCACCTTGAGTATACACAGCAATTAGACCTATTGACCTCTAACCCCGTCCCCAACCCCAACCCCTTCCAACAGCAAGATTACCAAGCACCTCCGAACGACTTGCCCGTAGATTATGCCGCATTTTTTTCGTAGTTTTTTTTCCCGCTTTCTTTTTAAACTTTGTATTTATACTTACATTTTTATTTATATTATAAATAAATTGTTTTTCTATTCATTAATTTGTTATTTTTTATTTTTTTTGTCAATTGTATGAAATATATATTTTAAATAACATTCTATTTATTAAATTCTTTTTTTTTTTTAATTAAAAATTACACTTGTGCGACAAAGATATGTCATCGTGCAAAACCACGCGCGTCTTACATGTTTTGTCACCCAAACATTAAGGTGACAATATGCATGTTATTTAATTTATTCAAAATTCTGCTTCATCTGTTGCTCAAACATTTTCAAGACAAACCATAGACGTCCCCAAAAATTTCTCATCACAAAGCAAACTTGTACTCTCTTATATCGTGCGACGAAAACCTTCGTCCATATACCTTTCTTGCAACGAGCAGTAAAGCGTTGCGTAATTGTTTTGTGCGACCTGGAAATGCTTTGCGCAACAAATACTCCCTGATCTCGCAAAGTGTTTAATGTAGTAGTGCCCCACGCTACGAGCTCCAGCTACAATTGATGTTCCACCCTCATTCCTTATTACTAGCATTCATGCACGCACTCACGCACGTGCAGAAGGTATTTTTGAATCATGGCGTGCTACTCGTGATTTATATGTTTTAAATGTATTTATATGCATAAATTGACAAAAGGAAAGTCAAATATTTGAAGTAAATGAATAATTTTAGATCATGCTAAAAGAAATCTCTCATAAACCAATTAAAGTAGCTACATTTACATAATAAAATCGATCACTATAGAATTTACATTAAGAATAGAGAAAATAATATTTAATAAGCAATTGATTGAATCATATTATTGCTAGCCTATTGTGAGGCTAAGCCCATCCCCTCCTCCTTAGTATAAATAATATCGTTTATTAAAAAAAATATCATTTGACAATCAATTTAATCACATTATTATCCGTGTGCGAAAGATCTTTTTTTTATAACCGGCATTACACGCCTCTTAAGATGTTTTAAACGTGTTTAAAAATAGAGAAAATAATATTTAATAAATAACTGATTGAATCATATTATTGCTAGCCCATTGTGAGGTTAAGCTCATCTTCTCCCTCTTAGTGTAGATAATATTGCTTGTTAAAAAAAAAAAACAATCATTTGATAACTTATTTAATTACATTGTTATCCGCATGCAAAAAACATTTTTTAGAACCGGCATTACACGCATAATAAGATGTTTTAAACGTGTTTAAAAATAAAGAAATTGAATCACATTATTGCTAGCTTATTGTGCGGTACTAATTAAAAAAAAAAGCACCAAAAAGTAAATTATTAAAGAAATACTGTTAAAATGATGAAAATAACCCTACCTTATTTGATGTATTATTTTAAAATGCATTTGAAGTTTTTTATTTTAAAGGCATTTTTGTCCAAATAATTTTGTTGAAGCATGGTGACACCAAATCACTATTTACCTTTTCCATACTCTTTATACATAAAAGATAAGACCAGTTGCTGCTTCGGAGTTGATGATTGAACCATCATATTTAATTTTCTGGAGCCCTCCTTGTGGAGGATCCCATTTAATATTCCGTTTTATTTTTTTGTATGACTTAAAAGCATTATTGGCTACAAAATATTCCGTTTTATTTCTAAACACCACCTAGTTTCTATCGTTCCAAATTTACCAGCAAATTAGAAGGGCTATACTTCGGTGGGATATAGTGCCTTCATCAGACCTCTCAAGTGTGCTAGACCAATCTGTTAGACTAATAGGAGCATTATCATTAACTGGAGTTAAAACCAGGTAGCATTCCAAACCCGCCTTTCAAAAGTACAGTTTACAAATAAATGGTCCTGATTTTCATTGTCCAGATTACGAAGAGGAAAACTAGAGCAAATTGCATTAATGTATTTATGTAATCTATTAAGAAGCAAAAGCCAACTAAACAACTTAACAATGCTCATGAGCTTTGCCATCAATGAGCACCAAGAAAGAAGTTGAAGAAATACACTCCATTATGAGTTTTACCCAATGATTACCAAATCCAAATCTGGTTAACACAACTTTGATATAATCCCAATTCAATGCTTATAAGCTTTTCCAAGACCTAATTTAACAGCCATTGCTCCTGCTCTAACAATTTTTTTTTTTTTTTTTTTTTTTTTTTTTAAAGGTTGTAAATAACTCATGAGTAATAAGAATGTTATCATAGATGGATCTAGGTGCAAAAGCACCCTAATAATTTTATAGCTGACATTACATATATTTATTGGTCTATAATGAAACACCAATTCAGGAGTTATTATAGAGCCAACAATTTTGCAGCATTAGACCAATTCAGGTCTAAGTGCTTTTAACTTTTAAGGCACTATATGCCTCCCAAATTTAATGCGCAGCCACGAAAACCACATCTTGACGCAGTCCATCGTCTCTTGCGATACTTGAAAGAAGCACATGGGCAAGATTTGTTCTTTCCTTCCAAAGGCAACTTCTTGTTAACTGGTTTCTGTGATGCGGATTGGGCTCGTTATTTCATAACGAGATGATCAGTGATAGGTTATTGCATATTCCTTGAAGGAGTACTTGTTATTAAGGGTACAAGTCAGCAATACAGTTAGAAATACAGTTAGCAAGTTTGTTAGTATTTGGTTAGGGTTGTTATTAGGCTTTCTCAGTTACTCTTTTTTCTCCATTTTCTCTTGAGTCTCAAATATTTCAATGTAGTTAACATGGCATTTCTCTTCGGTTAAGTTCTTCTTCAGTGCTTCTGCAATCATTCTGTAACTTCTGGGTTAATTTTCCTTCTGGGTTGTAAGATTGGTGGGTTAATTTTCCACGATGAATCCTCATGGACGGGGTCTAAGGCCGGTCTTGGTCAGGTCAACCGTCAAAATCTTCCAGGACGTCATCTTGGAGGGGCTCGGGGATTTTCAAGCAACTTCTTGGATCCAGTGGAATATCTTCATCTCATTCATTATTCATCATCAATTTGTTGGTTTTCGTCTGAATCTTGTGCTGCTTCGTCGGAATCCGATTTTTCCTCAGAAATTGATGCTTCGCCGAAATTGGTGTCTTGCTCAGGATTTGGTGTTTTGTCAGAATTGGGGTTTTTCTCAGAATGTGGTGCTGCTTCCCCAAAATCCTTTGCTTCTTGTTCGCTGGAGTCTGACAATTGCGCAAGAAATTGGTGTTTTTTTTTTTTTTTTGTTCATCGGAATCCTCTCAAAACTCGATCGACTGAAAGGGTTATTTACGCAATGACAGAAGCATTGATCTCACCGATACTTCTCTCTATCTTTCACCATCATCTTCGCGTATTTATTCGTTGTTAGTGAGGCTGCCATGTGATCGGCACGCTGTTGGGTAATGGGTTCTTGCATATCACATGTTCGATCTTATGCGTCAATGAAATTTAATGTCAAAACAATGTAACTGCAGATCTTGGATGCCCAGTGTTCAAGGTTTTACCATCCTTTCTTAGTCATTCTTGATGAGTATGGTCACATGGTAGCTGCCAGGTCAGCAAATCAGTTGGAATTGGTTGTAAGGACAGTTGGATAGAGTTGTAAGATTTAGTTAAATAGATAACATTTAGTTAGATATGTTGAGGGGTAGCTTGGTCATTAAGCAAATAGTGATATTCCTTTATATTTGGTTCTCTTGTAATAACGCTGGTATGTTTTTAACAATACAATACAGTGAAGTCGTTTCCTCTTCTGAGTTCTAAGCTTTTCTTTGATTCTTTGATTCTCTTCCATTTTCTAAAGATCTTGTTCAATGTCAAAACTCTGTTTTCTAGTTAATATGGTATCCAGAGCCTTCGTTCCTCCTGTGGTTCGTAGTTTCTTGGGGCGGTTTTTCTGAGAGCTTGATTGGTTCATGGTGATTCTTGGTGTTCATGGAGCTTTGATTCTGTGTTTGTGGTTTATGACATCAGTTGCGGCACGAAGCCATTTCAATATTTTGTAGCAGGCACAAAGCCATCTGAGTAATTTTCTGGATTATGGACTGGGCACGAAGCCAATTCAAGATTGTGTAGCGGGCACGAAGCCATCTGGGTAATTTTGTTTTGCAAGATTTGTTGTTTAGTAGGCCATTTCGTTGATAATTGTTGAATTGGTATTGTGTTTTCTTGATTGCTAATCATCATGGCGTCTTCTGGGGTTAAAATTGAGGGTTTGCTTGGAATGTTGACGATCAAATTAACTGATAAGAATTTCTCAAAATGGGTGTTTCAATTTCAGTCGGTGTTAAAGGGTTATAAGTTCTTTGGTCATTTTGATGGAACTGCTATATGTCCTCCTAAGTTTGTGATTGATTCGACCTCTGGGGTTACTAATGTTGCTACAGAAGCTTTTCTTGAATGGGAATCTATTGATTTAGCTCTTTTGAGTCTATTGATTGCTATTTTATCTGATGAGTCTATCGAACATGTGTTGGGGTGCAAGACTGCGCATGAGGCATGGTCTAATCTTCAAGATAGATATGCATCAATCTCAAAGGCTAGGGTGAATACGTTAAAAACAGAATTTCAAACAATTCAGAAGGGGGGTGATTCAGTTGATCAATATTTGTCCAAAATGAGGCACGTTAAAGAACAATTGGTTGCAGCTGGTGAATTTGTTTCAGACAATGATTTTGTGGTGGCTGCTTTATCTGGTTTACCGAGAGAGTATTCTGCTATACGAACTGTAATTCTTACTCGAGATACTTCTATTTCTCTAAGGGAATTCAGAGAGCAATTACTGTGTGCAGAGAGAGAGGCTGATTCTATGGTTAACACTTTGGCTCATAATTTTTCTGGGTTGTATATGCAAGGTTCTTCTTCTCAGTCCGGTGATTCTCAGGGTTCCTCTAGTAACTCTGATAATGTTCCTTTCTCCACTGCTGGTACTATTACTCGAGCTCCCAATAATGCTCCACCTGTGAGTATGCCATTTATGTCTCAGGGTTCTAATGCACTGCCTGCTCTGCCACCAGGTCCAATGTTTCCACAGATTCCTTATTCTATGGATGGTTCTATGTTTCCTCAAGTTCCATTTTCTCCTAATTCATACATGATGCCTTCATCTTTGCCTCCTACATATCCTGATTTTACAAATGTCTATGGTTTTATGGGCAATAGTAATTCTTCTAGGCCATTTCCTAATTCCAATCATGGTTCGCGGCCTTTCTCTGGTTCTAAGCCTAATGGGGGCTATAGAGGTCCAAATTTTGGCAGTGGACGTGGACAGTTTTCTGGTCCTAAACAAAGTGGAGGTACTTGGCAGTCTTGGTCAGGGAATACTGAAACTAGATCTCATATTGTTCCAGAATGTCAAATCTGTTCTAAACGTGGTCACACAGCCCCTAATTGTTGGAAGCGATCTACTAGTCCTAGTTCGATGGGACAGGTTATGGAATGTCAAATATGTGGCAAGCGTGGTCATAGTGCTTTGGATTGTCATCATCGTAATAACTTTGCCTATCAAGGCATATCTCCTGCTCCTTCCTTGACTGCTATGCAAGCTCATGCTTCTTCTAATCTTCTCCCTTAAGATTCTTGGATAGTAGACACTGGTGCTTCGCACCATATGACTGCTGATTTGAACTCCCTGCAGCAAGTCTCATCTTATGCAGGATCTGATAAGATTACTATTGGAAATGGTGAAGGTTTGCAAATCGAAAATATTGGTTCTGCACGTTTACATACTTTACCTCAGTCTTTACTTCTCAGAACAGTTTTACATGTTCCTACTATTGCAGTTAGTCTACTGTCAGTTAAACAATTATGCAAGGATAATTTTTGTTGGTTTATATGTGATGATCATGAGTTCTTTGTGCAGGACAAGGTAACCAAGGCTGTTCTGTATCACGGAAGGACAAATGAGGGTGAGTTGTTTCGGATTCCAGTGAAGTTGTTATCAGAGTCTTCATCTCGGAAGTCAGTGGCTCTTCTTGGACAGAAAATAAAGTCTGAAGTATGGCATCAACGGTGTGGTCATCCAAGCAATGAAGTGTTGTCTGTAATGTTGAAACAGTCTAGTATAGTTTGTTCTCCTGATTCTCATCAACATGTGTGTTCTTGTTGTATTTCTGGCAAGATGTGTAGACTGCCATTTCATGATAGAAACGAGTCATGTAACTTTCCTTTTCAAAAGGTGCATACTGATCTGTGGGGTCCATCACCTACTATGTCTATAGAAGGTTACAAATACTATGTCAGTTTTATTGATGAGTTTACTAGATTTGTATGGATATTTCCTTTAATCAATAAATCAGAAGTGGTTGATGTCTTTCAGAAATTCTACAATTTTGTCTTCACTCAGTTTAATATTGGAATTAAGTGTTTGCAATCTGATGGTGGTGGGGAGTATATAAGTAAAAGATTTGCTGATTTTCTGAACCATAAGGGCATTGTACATATGATTTCGTGTCCATACACTCCTCAACAAAATGGACTTGCTGAGAGGAAACATAGACACATTGTGGAAACTGCTATTACCCTTATGACTACTGCTCAGTTACCTCAGGATCTTTGGTATCATGCTTGTGCACATTCTGTGTTTCTGATTAATAGAATGTCTTGCAAGGCTTTAGGCATGCAATCTCCATATCAAAGTCTATATGGTGTTTCTCCTTCTTTACAAGGGCTTAAAATATTTGGTACTGCGGTTTATCCATACATTAGACCTTACAATGTGAATAAATTGCAACCAAGGGCTTTGTTATGTGCTTTTATGGGATATGCCTCTGGCTATAAAGGAGTTATCTGTTTCCATTTAAAGTCTAGGAAATTTATCATTTCTCGGCATGTGATTCATGATGAAGATTTGTTTCCATATAAGTCCCAGCTTTCATTGCAGACTACATCTCAGGGAAGTAGTTCTTCCGATTCCACACATGTATCTTCTCCAATACATTCTGCTATCTTTATGCCACAGTCAGTTTCAGTGCCTACTGATGCTTCATCTCTCAATGGTGTTGTGGGTCGAAATGGTATTGCTTTGTCTGATTCTACGACTCTGCATCCTTTTCAGCAATTGTCTGGCCTGCTGAGTCCGTCTTTGACTGTCCCTGAATCTGAAACAACTCCCTCATCTTCCTCGACAGCTTTGGTGTTACCTGTCCTTGATCCTGCACAACTGGAGGTCATTCTTCCCATTCCTTCATCTTCTACTGGGGGTACTCCACATCCTACTGTTTCTTCTCCTCCACGAATGAAAACTAGGTTACAAACTGGTGCCATTTCGAGGAAGACCTATGCTAATTACATAGCATCCTTACCAGAATTACACTCATTGCAGCTTGATGTCCAGGAGTCTTGTTCTGATGGTTTTTCATTTGTGGCTAGTCTGAATGATCTGTCTGAGCCTAAATCTTTTAAGCATGCTGCATCTAATGTTCATTGGCAAAATGCCATGCAAGAAGAATTTGATGCTTTAACCAGCCAAGGGACTTGGGTGTTGGTTCCTCCACCAACACATAGATTAATCATTGGTAGTAAGTGGGTTTATAAATTGAAGATGAATCCTGATGGTACAATATCCAGATATAAGGCACGGTTAGTGGCTTAAGGTTATACTCAAGAGTTTGGTTTGGATTATTTTGAAACCTTTAGTCCTGTTGTTAGGCATACTACAGTTCGGTTGATTATTTCTCTTGCTGCTCAAAACAAATGGGAATTAAGGCAACTTAACATTAAAAATGCCTTTTTACATGGAGATTTAGAAGAAGAGGTTTACATGCAGCAACCTCAAGGTTTTGTGGATTCTACACATCCTGATTTTGTGTGCAAATTGGTTAAATCTCTGTATGGTTTGAAACAGGCACCTAGGGCCTGGAATGCTAAGTTTACAGGCTATCTTCCAACTATGGGATTTACAATGTCTTAATCCGATAACAGTCTGTTTATCAAACATGATGGCACTGATGTTATTGCCTTATTATTATATGTTGATGACATTATCCTGACAGGATCTAATGCCACAAAGGTTCAGGCTATTATTCAAGAATTGGGAGATGTTTTTGATCTCAAAGACATGGGCAGATTGTCTTATTTCCTCGGGTTGCAGATTCAGTATCATGCTAATGGTGATATTTTCTTAAATCAATCTAAGTATGCCAAAGATTTGATTCACAAAGCTGGTATGGACAATTGCAAGCCTGCATCCACACCATGTAAGCCTCATACTCAGCTCTTAGCATCTGATGGCACTCCTTTAAGTGATCCCACTATGTATCGCAGTCTTGTTGGTGCTTTACAGTACCTTACCTTTACTCGACCAGATCTCTCCTATGCTGTCAACATTGCTTGTCAGTATATGAATACACCTACTGATGTTCATTATGGTCTTGTGAAAAGGATTCTTCGCTATGTTCAAGGTACTGCCATGTGTGGTCTTACATATTCTGCATCTCCGGACAACTCTATTACAGCATTCTCTGATTCGGATTGGGCAACTGATCCTAATACTAGAAGATCTATTACAGGTTTTGTGGTGTATATGGGACATAATCCAATCTCGTGGCAATCAAAGAAACAGTCCTCCGTTTCTAGGAGCTCCACAGAGGCTGAGTATAAGGCCTTAGCTCATTGTGCATCTGATGTAATATGGATCCGGTTGCTGCTCAAAGATCTTCATCAGTTCTTGTCAATGCCACCATTATTACAGTGTGATAACCTCTCTGCGTTAGCCTTATGTTCTAATCCTGTGTTTCATACACGGATTAAACATTTGGATACTGATTTTCACTTTGTAAGAGAGAAGGTTCAGAAGAAGGACTTACAAGTTCAATATGTTCCCACTGCAGAACAAACGTCTGATGTTCTTACCAAAGGTCTCCATGGACCTGCCTTTTTCAAGCATTGCTGCAATCTCAGGGTTGGTCACCCTACCTGAGATTGAGGAGAGATGATGAGTATGGTCACATGGTAGCTGCCAGGTCAGCAAATCAGTTGGAATTGGTTGTAAGGACAGTTGGATAGAGTTGTAAGATTTGGTTAAATAGATAAGATTTAGTTAGATATGTTGAGGGGTAGCTTGGTCATTAAGCAAATAGTGATATTCCTTTATATTTGGTTCTCTTGTAATAACGCTGGTATGTTTTTAAAAATACAATACAGTGAAGTCGTTTCCTCTTCTGAGTTCTAAGCTTTTCTTTGATTCATTAATGAAGATTGTTTCTGATTCAATTCTTTCTATTACTAGTTGTTCATTTTCTAATTGGCTGGTTATGAACTGGTTTGTAACGGGTCATCAAAGTGGGGCTGTTAAGGTATGGCAAATGGTTTATCCCACCAACCTCAAGGGTTTTCAACAGAAGTCAACGAGCAATGGGATAGGTGGTTTAAATCTCAATGATAAAGCACCAGAGTACAAGTTTGGTGAAATGGGTATGTGTTTTGTTCTATGAAAATTGTTAGGCATTGAGAAAGATTACAGTCAAGACACATTGTAATTCTTGTGATTAGGAGTTGTGGCATATGCTATTGTGTTTTCTGGTTATTCATCTCTTGGGCAAGTGTTCATTTTCTTGATTAATTTGGAAAAGAGTTGAATATGGGATTAAGGAATGATGCCGGTAGTTAAGGAACATTGCTTGAGATGAAAATATAGCTTTGACATGGAATGCATTACAATTCTTTTATGAGGTCTAATGACATAGAATGTAATGCATAACCCTGCAGTGTTGGTTATTTTCAGGTCCCTAGCAAATAACTTGGCCCCAATTCCGGTTAAAGTGGTTGTTGCAAAGTGGTGAAGGCATCGATTATCATACATTGACAGATACTGCAGATGGTTCAGATGGGAATGGTTTTCATATGGAACAAGGTGATATACATAAAGATATTATGATATGGAATGAATCTGAGGTGGATAAATTCAGTCATCCATAGGGATTACAAGAATGCAAATGGTTCAACTCTGTTCTGTTTTCTGGTTTCATAGTAGTGACTGCATATGTTCTTCCAATCTCAAACTGGGTTTCCCCAGTTGAGATTGAGGGGGAGTATTAAGGGTATAAGTTAGCAATACAGTTATAAATATAGTTAGCACTATAGTTTGCAAGTATGTTAGTACTTCGTTAGAGTTGTTATGCTTTCTAGTATAAAAACAGTGTGTAATCTTCATTCACTACTACAATATTAGTTTTAGGTGTCTTTAATAAGCCATTATGTCGGATAAAAGATATCCGACACATCATTCAATTAGTGTCGGATAAAAATAAAATCATGTCGGTTATATCTACCAGTATTTGTAATTGTTTTTTTTAAATAGTTTTAACATATTCTGACGGTTTTTAGTTAATGGTGGCGGTTATAACGGACATAAATTGACTATTTTATTATTTTAGTTTCTGGCGGTTATTATTTTAGTATTCTAATGGTTATAACTGGTAGAAATTTATTTTTAACATATTCCGGCAGTTTTTAGTTAATGGTGGCGGTTGACTATTTTATTATTTTAGTATTTTGGCGGTTATTATTTTAGTATTCTGTCGGTTATAATCGACAAAAATTGACTATTTTATTATTTTAAAATGTTGTATTGATTAAAAATAAATAAATAAATAAACAGATGGTTTAAATATTTTAACAAACACTTAAAGAGTTAATGTTATACTTTAATTAAGTATAAAATAAGATTTATCCACTAGTGTAAATATTTTAAATTGAAGATCGAATTCATGCATTGCATTCTCATAGGGTCGAGGAGTGTAGCTGTAAAAAATCATCAAAATTGAAGCTAAAATAATCGTTAAATTGTGATTTTTCGTTTATAACCATCGAAAACTTTTGTTCTGTTACCTAATCTCTGAATGTTTGTTTTTTTTTTTTAATTTTTTAAGTATGCGATCTTGGAGTGTGTACAAACAAATTTGACAGTTGGATTATTGAAAAACGTTTTGTAGAATGCGTGTCGTATCAAAATGGTAGATTAAACAAACACTTTAGAGTTAATGTTATACTTCTCCATTAAGTATAAAATAAGATTTTGTGGTATCTACTAGTGTAAATATTTTAAATTAAAAATTGAATTCATTCACTGCATTCTTATAAGGTCGAGGAGTGTAACTGTAAAAAATCATCAAAATCAGAGCTAAACGAGCCGTTAAATTGTGATTTTTCGTTTATAACCGTCGAAAACTTTTGTTCTGTTACTCAATATCTTAATGTTTGTTTTTTTGTGATTTTTACGTATGCGATCTCAGAGTGTGTACAAATAAGTTTGACAGTTAGATCATTGAAAAAAGTTTTGTAGAATGTGTATCGCGTCAAAACGGTAGATTAAATAAACACTTAAGAGTCCACTAGTGTAAATATTTTAAATTGAAGATCAAATTTATTCAATACATTCTTATAGAGTCGAGGAGTGTAGCTGTAAAAAAATTATTAAAATCGGAGCTAAAATAACCGTTAAATTGTGATTTTTCGTTTATAACTGTTGAAAACTTTTGTTCCGTTATGTAATATCTGAATATTTGTTTTTTTTATGATTTTTTACGTATGCAATCTCGGAGTGTGTACAAATAAGTTTGAAGGTTGGATCGTTGAAAAAAATTTTGTAGAATGCATATCGCGTCAAAATGGTATATTAAACAAACACTTAGAGTTAATATTATATTTCCATTAAGTACAAAATAAGATTTTATGGTATCCACTAGCATAAATATTTTAAATTAAAGATCAAAATCGTTCATTGCATTCTTATAAGGTCGAGGAGTGTAGCTGTAAAAAAATCATCAAAGCCGGAGCTAAAATAACCGTTAAATTGTAATTTTTCGTTTAAAACCGTCGAAAACTTTTGTTCCGTTACCTAATCTTTGAATGTTTAATTTTTTTTTTTTTGCGATTTTTTACGTATGTGATCTTTTAGTATCTAAAAACAAATTTGACGGTTAGATCATGAAAACTAGTTTCCTAGAATACATATCTTCGTTAAATTTGCTTAAATTTTGAAGTGGGATTTGTGCTAAATTTTTATTTATGTTTTTCAAGTATTGATTAGACAATATTTAGTTTGTATGTTGACATTTTCATTGTACAATTCTCTTTTTGTTTCTTTATCGCATGTTTTATATGGGTTATTATCTATTAAACCAAAAGTGTAAAAATTATCTATTAAACCAAACAATTATTTATTTAATTTTTAAAAACGTGTTACATCCCGGCCCGGGGCTGATCACTTCCCGGGCCCGCTCCACCACCGGAGCACGATATTGTCCGCTTTGGGCTTACCATTCCCTCACGGTTTTGTTTTTGGGAACTCACGAGCAACTTCCCAGTAGGTCACCCATCATGGGATTGCTCTAGCCTCCTTCTCGCTTAACTTCGGAGTTCCTACGGAACCCGAAGCCAATGAGCTCCCAAAAGGCCTCGCGCTAGGTAGGGATGAGAATATACATTTAAGGATCACTCTCCTGGGCGATGTGGGATGTCACAATCCACCCCCCTTAGGGGTCCGACGTCCTCGTCGGCACACACGCGGCCAGAACTAGGCTCTGGTACCAATTTGTCGCATCCCAGCCCAGGGCGGATCACTTCTCGGGCCCGCTCCACCACCGTAGCACGATATTGTCCGCTTTGGGCTTACCATTCCCTCACGGTTTTGTTTTTGGGAACTCACGAGCAACTTCCCAGTGGGTCACCTATCATGGGATTGTTCTAGCCTCCTTCTCGCTTAACTTCGGAGTTCCTACGGAACCCGAAGCCAGTGAGCTCCCAAAAGGCCTCGCGCTAGGTAGGGATGAGAATATACATTTAAGGATCACTCCCCTGGGCGATGTGGGATGTCACAAACGTATTCTATTTAAATACATATTATTTATTTATTTATTAAACCAAACAATTATTATTTTATTTTTTAAAATCGTAACAAAATTTTGGGAGGGAATTTTGGGGGGATTTTTGCCGCCATTTTGTTTCTGTCGGTTATAACCGACAGTAATGAAAATTTTTTTGTCAGTTTTTATTTTAAAAAACCGACAGTAATGAAAATTTTATGTCGGTTTTTATTTAAAAAAAATGTTTCTGTTGGTTTTAATTGACAGTAATGAAAAATTTTCCAAAATAAAAACCCTCCATCTCTTCCTTGCACCGGTACTTCTCCCTTCCCCCTTTTCTCCTATCCTCATTTCGTTCTCCTTCTCGCTTCAATCACTATGGATGAACAAGGCAAAAGCTATGCAAGCCCTTGAGCACAGAGACAAGCGAAGCACTATAAGTCCCTTCACATGCTTCCACCTATGACTTAATTTATGTTTTCATTGGATATGAATAATTCATATTTTGGAAGATATCAATAAAGGCTCCATCTTATTGGGATTTCATAGATATTTAGGGATTTATTCAAGTAGTCCAAAATTATTTTAACAATCAGTAATCGTGTTTTTTTTTTCATGCTTATTAACTTGTTACCTTATTCCTTTTACCAGGAAGCAAAATATCCAGTTGACTCTGATGTAGGCATACGAAAGTGACACCTGAGAGTTTATCAGCTTTGTCATCTTTTTTTGTGGTCCCTAACAGCTTTGCAGTGTTCTTTCAGGCTAAGGAAGAGGATGACGCCAACACAGATGATGTGGAAGATGACTCTGATGCTAAATCTAAACCGGACTCAACTGAAGAGAGTGCCGAGGAGTCTGAGAGATATGTAAGCTTATTTCCTTTTGCAGTTACTCAACTAATACTACTAATCTATTTACTAATCTTTGCGCCTTGTGCTTTGTATTTTCAGGATGAACTGTAGGAAGGGAAGCATCTAGAGAAGCTTCGGCGGAGTGCGCCATTTTTTCTCCTTATTTTTTAGCTGTAGAAGTGTTAAGAGGGAAGAGATACTGATAAATGTTGAATGTTGCTGATGTCTTAATTGTTTGGAAATTATATTTGTATTTCACAAATGAATAAGTTTACAATATGAGTATATATACTAGTTGTGAGCCAAAAGCAAGTCACAACACTTTCTAACTAAGAGAAAACAAACCTATAACAAACTAACAGTTTTACTTAGTCTCTAAGTATTATCTCTTGAGGATGAATTTACAATAGTATCCTTAATATCCCCCCTCAAACGAAACTGGAGAGGTCGAAGTGGAAGTTTGGCACGGAGGAACAGAAATCTGGGCTTGGACAGAGACTTAGTACAGATATCAGCAACTTGGTCCTGGGAGCATATGAAATGAAGAGAGACCTGCTGAGCCAGAACCTGTTCACGGATATAATGATAGTCAATCTCGACATGTTTGGTGCGAGCATGGAAAACAGGATTCTTAGCAAGAGACAGGGCAGAGATATTGTCACACCAGAGGTGAGGAGAGCAAGGTAAACAATACCCAATATCAGTAAGCAGTTTACAAATCCAAGTGATTTCAGAGGCAGTGTTAGCAAGGGAACGATACTCAGCCTCGGTGGAAGAACGAGCAACAGTGAGTTGCTTCTTAGCACTCCAACTAATAAGAGAATTGCCCAGATAAATGCAATAACCTCCAGTAGAGCGCCTGTCTAACGAACAACCTGCCCAGTCAGCATCGGAGAAGGCCGTGAGAGAGAGAGGAGATGAGGATTTAGTAAACCATAGGCCAAGATCAAGAGTGCCCTTAAGATAGCGAAGAATACGCTTGACAGCTTGAAAATGGGACACTCGTGGAAGATGCATGAACTGACAGACAAGATTAACAGCAAAACTAAGATCAGGCCGTGTCCAGGTTAAGTATTGGAGAGCACCTACCAAGGATCGATACTCGGTAACATTTTCAAGAGGAGGAGAGTCATGATCAAGTTTGGAGGTGCTAAGGGGTGTTGCACAGGGCTTGGCACCAACCATGTTTGCTTTAGTAAGCAAATCAAGAATGCCAGTAGAGGAACGTTTGACCTCAATGCCAAGAAAGTAGTGTAAAGCTCCAAGGTCCTTGATGGGAAACATAGCACTGAGTTTGTGAATCACAGCTTGACAGGCAGCAGAGGAAGGACCAGTAACCAAAATATCGTCCACATAAACCAGGATGAAGATTAAGGAAGGATCCGCTTTGACGAAGAGAGAGTGGTCACTCTGAGAACCAACAAATCCAAGTGAATGAAGAGCAGCATGCAGTTTATCATACCAGGCTCGAGGAGCCTGTTTCAGACCATATAAGGATTTATGGAGCTGACATACATGATTCGGTTTAGAGGGATCTTGAAAACCAGGTGGTTGCTGCATAAAGACCGATTCAGAAAGAGTACCATGCAAGAAGGCGTTGCTGACA